CCTAGGAGCCCCTAGACCCCCCTGTTGACCCCCATCTCCTCCCCCCAGGCCCCCCCAGCCCCTCACCGGCCTTGCTGCAGTCCACTGTGAAGTGGTTCTTGTGGCCCAGGCGGGCACTTGCCAGCCCCGGCCCTCGGGCCACCACCTGCCCCGCGTCTGACGGGGCCTTGGTGACCCCCCCGAAGGCAGGGGGGCCCCGCGAGCCCCCCCGTGCCACTGGCTCCACCAGCACCGTCGAGGTCTCGTGCAGGCTGTGCCCCCCCGACAGCCGCGGGCCTGGGGAACACGGTGGGACACCGTCAGCCCCCGCCATGGGGACACCCCCGCCCCCGTCACACTGTGCTGGGGGGTCACAGCAACACCTTCCAGGGACAACCCATCATGTCACCCTGGAGCTCTTTCACCACGTCACCCACCCCCAGGACCCCCTATGCCACCGCCCTGGGGACACCCCCGTTCATGTCACCCTGGGGGTCCTCCTGCCATCTCCCTGCCACCCCCATCATGCTCATCACTGGCCCTTGTCACTCCACACTGGGGACCCCCGACTTCCCCCCCCACCCCGATCCCCCCTCATCCAATCCCCCATCCCCGTGTCCCCCCACCAGCCATACCGGTGACCTTGGCCTTGAAGGGGCTGCCCACGATGTGGTGGGGGCCCCCGTACTTGATGGAGATGAGGTAGTTGCCAGGGGCCATCGGGGTGTAGGTGACACGGTGGCCCTCAGGGACCTCAGTGCAGTCCAGCTCCACCTTGGAGGGGCCATCGATGGTGACAGCCAGTGCCCCTGCCCCTGCATTGGCCGTCTGCACCAGGAACTCCGAAGGCACCCCTGGGACACAAGGGACACGAGGTTGGCACCATGGGGGGGGGACACTGTGACCCTACTGTGGCCACCACCCACGGCCACGTCCCCATCACATCAATTCCTGCGGCCACACCTCCGCTGTCACCACCACGGCTGTCACCATCCTCGCCACCACACGGCCACGGTGCTGACCGTCCCCAACCCCCTCCCACAGCCGTGTCCCCGTCTCCACAGCGGTGTTACCTGTGCGGCCGCCCTCGAGGCCGGGCCCGAAGGCGGTGACGAGCCCGGGGTCCCCAGCCTGGCTCTGCTCGCCCACGCGGATGTTGAAGGGGCTGCCGGGCACGTGGCGCCCATTGAAGCGCAGGTCGATGGAGTGCACCCCGTTCTCACGCGGCAGGAACCCCAGTGCGTAGCGGTCTGGGGGAAACAGGCATGGCACCGTGTCCCTGTGTGCCCACGATCTGTGTCCCCACACCCCAATTTTCACACAGCAGGACCCCCAGCGTGTGTTGGTCTGGGGGAGCACTGTGTCACAGCAGTGTCCCCATGTCCCTGTGTTTCCCAGTGCCCACACCCCATTCTCACACAGCAAGAAAACTCCAGCACCTATCAGTCTGGGGGGACAGACTGGTGTGTCCCGTGTCCCCATGCCCCGTGTCCCTTTGTCCCCATATACCTCATGCCCCCAAGCCCACGTGCCCACATGCCATGTCCCCATGTCCTGTGCCCTGTGTCCATCCCCCCCATCCCCAAGCCCGGTGTCCCCACAGTGTCCCCTCACCGCTGTCCAGCTCGGACACGTAGCACTCCTCCACCACCCCTGCAGGCGTGTGCACTTTGGCGTCGATGACCCCGCGTGCCCCGTTCAGCTGCACTGCAAACGACGCCGGCTGGTTCACGGCCACTGTCTCCTGTGGGGACACCACGGTGGCATCAGGGACACAGGCAGGGCAGAGGGGACATCATGGGGCCCAGGGGTGACACAGGGGTGCCAGGTGTTGGCAGCAGGGAGGGTCCCAAGGGTGACACGGGGGAGAGAGAGAGGTGGCCCCGGAGGGTCCCAAGGGTGCCACAGGGGCTCAGAGCGGCCCCAGGGGCGACCTGGGGACCCAGGGAGTGTCTGGGAGCCCAGGGTGCCCCAGGGTGACATGGTGGGTGTCCCCAGTACCTGCAGGCTGGTGACAGTGAGGCGCCGGGCGTCGTCAGAGTGGGAGGCAACAGGGACGACAAAGGGGCTGTCGGGGATGTGCTCCTCGTTGAACTTGATGGACACTTCATAGTCACCTGGGGGACATGTGGACAATCAGGCAGGGACCCCACGCACCAAGACCCCACACAAAGGGACCCCACACATGAGGAAACCCTCCCGTGGGGACACCTGTGCACAGAGACATCCTTATGTGGGGACACCCTCAGCTGGGGACATCCTCATACTTGGGGACACCTTTGCATGGGGGTCCCACAGTCCTGGCTTACCACCATTTGGGGGGAAGGGGGGTGGGGAGGGCAGGTTATTGGTGTGTTGGGAGTGTTGGGGGGCAGGCCCCTCTCACCTGGCTCCTGCACCAGGTAGGAGACACCACAGGAGCCGTCCTTGCGGTCCTCGAAGGAGATCTCAGCCTTGCTGGGCCCCTCGACAGCGATGGAGAGACCCCCCGCGCCCGCCTCGCGCGTCCAGATGCTGAACTCAGCTGGGGGGAGGGGGCACCAGGGTCACCCCGGCCCCCAATGGCACCCCAGGACAGTGACACCCCTCACAGACCTGCATCCACCCCCCATGGCACCCAGATCCCCCACAGCACCCTCACATTGCCCCCACACCCAACTGTACCCAAATCCCCCATCACAGCACC